CATATTTATGACGGTCGCAGCGTCCCAGGGTGTGTCTGTGTCACGCAGTCCCCTTTGGCGACCTTCTGACAAACCTAGTCTGTGGGGAAGCTGAATTCACTTATTGACTGATTTAACAATGGAATTGATTTGCTTAATGTCGGTGGGGGCCAAACTCCTTTCAATATCTCATTTAACAACCTAGGTTTTGGGATCCATTCCGGTCGTCAGCCGAGGACTCACTGGGCTCATTTGAACCACCTGAATTTCCCTGGCTGGTGACAAGCCTAAGGTCATCCTAGCCTGACCCTCCACCCAGAGCAGCAGCCCCCACCCCACCCCATCCTCCCAGGAGCCAAGATTTTACCTCTGACGCTTCCAGCCATTTCCCGACAGGTTGAACTACACAAACCTCCGATTTCTGAATGAAAAGCGAAGCAGAGTCAGCCGAAGGACAGGAACTCACTTCAGCTGCAAAAGGCACAAGCAAGAATGGAAGGGGGTGGGGTTTAAAAAGGACCCTTCCCCTTCCTCACCACCCAGGGGGCTGACCCACCTGATCCTGTCCCCACCTCCTTTTCACCCAGTCCTCTTTAGATCAGACTGATGAGCTTTGAAACCGGAAAAGGCTGATGATTCCCTGCCCGGTACAGGCAGTCCTCGAGTTATGACACCAATGGGATCACCCCAAATTTACATCGCTGAAGTCAGTTTTGAGCCGTTTTATGGCTTTGCTTGCTTCTGTCATTAAGTGAATCAATTGCTTTTGCTTCTCTGGAAGAGTCATCGTTTTCTAGGCAGCGGGGGTGGGGGAGGGGGAAGTCTAGGATGGGGGAACCTTGGAGGTCCTCTAGTCCAACTCTCTGCCCAAGCAGGAGACCCTGAGAGAATCATAGAATCCCAGACTTGGAAAGGACTTTGGAGGTCATCCAATCCAACCCCATGCTCAAGCAGGAGACCTGGACAGAATCATAGAAGGAAGGAGTTGGAAATTGTGGAGCTGGGTCTTTAAGGACCTGCCTGAATTCCTATTCCCTCTCCCTCCCCTTCCCTCCCTCCTTCACATCCTCCTTCCCCTTCCCTGCCTCCCTCCTCTCCTCCCCCTTTCTCTCCCTCCTCTCCTGCTCCCTCTCCCTCCTTCCTTCTCCCCTACTCTGCTTCCCCCTTCCACTCTGCCTCCCCCACTTTCCTCTCTCCCCCTCCCTCCCCCTCACCGTTACCCTCTACAGTCCTTCCCAGGGAAAGCAAAAGTGTTTGCCTCCCTTGGCCTGGGAAGTTCTGCCTGGAAGCCAGGAGATTGAAGATAAAAGCCCAGGTGTGTCACATTTCTTCTCCTCTTATTTCTTCGCCTCCCTCCCCCCCCTGCCCCACAAAAACCAGCCTCGCTTCCTCCGCCCTTTGCCTGCTGCTTTGCAGGAGCGACCCCTTCCTTCCCCCTCCCCGCAGCCAAGTTCAAGGGGGGGGAGAAAAGCCCCCTTGGTGGGGTCCTCCTCCCCCCCTAGATCCTTTCCGAAGACACACACAGACCCCACTGAAAGACGGACCAGGTTGAGAACCAGAGGCGGATGGAGGTTTGGTGGAATCTGCGCGACCCCCAAGAATGCTGAGCCACCCCCCCCCCAAAAAAAAATTACAGTGATGGAGAAGAGGAAGCGANTCAAAAGAAAAGCACTTGCCAACTGGATCTCTCTCCCCCTCTTCTTTGCCTGAACAGTGGGGTATCTGCCAGATGTCTAGGCAGATAACGCGACCAGAAACCCGGGAGCAGCTCTATTAAGCTTCTACCATCAGCAAGGTCCCGCCCAGGAAGCCCCAATTGTCAGCTAGTATTTAGCAACAACTGTAGCAAGAAAAGTCAAAAAATGGGGCAAAACTCACTTTAAAAATGTTTCCCTTAGCAATGTAAAGTTTGTGCTCAATTATTGTAAGTGAGGACTACCTGTGCTTTCTCATTAATTTTTTATAATGGCCTTGGGACACATGTCTTTTCCCTCCCGTGGGGAGAGAAAACACCCTGAATCTTTGAAATTTCTGTCAAGTCTCTGTTAATGTCTCTGTCCTTGAGCCCTCCTTGATCTCTTAAGAGCAGGGAAGAGCTTAGCCTTAGATCCAACTTCAGGGAACCATAAGATTTGATTTCTCCCCATGCCTATTTAACATCTATATAAAGCCATAGAATGAGGCCATTCTCAAAAGTATGCTACTTACATACAGTATTTCTGTCCTCGCCACCTAAATAATGCTGTTCCTTCCCAGTGGGAGTCTGGTTGAAGCTCTGGATGAAAAAGAACAGATGACATCAAAGTTCTAGCAAGATGGTGTGGCTGTGGGTTTTACTTTCCTGACAAATGTGGAGAGCTTCCATTGTTAATTCTTGACAGTATGCTATTCCCCCAGATCAAGTTGATACATAATTTTTGTTTTTTTCTAGAGTAATAACTCCTGCTCAAGAAGCTGATGGCAGCCATGACCAAGAACACATTTGCAGAATTCCTTTTGTGCACCAGTTGCTCCTGTTCCTGAATTGGGAAGCTCAGGCCTTAATCACTTCTCAGTTGGACTATTGCAATATGGTGTACATGGGGTTCCCATTGAGTAGTGTTGAGAATCTATTGCTGCTCCAGAATACAATGGCAGTGAGTTTTATATGCATCATACAATACTTCTGGTACATGAGCTGCACTGATTTCCAAGCAGGTTTCCAGATACAATTCAAGGTGTTGCCAATAAAGCCATGCCTGGCATTGGGCAGGATATTTGGGGCACTGCCTGTTTCTGATGCTTATGCCTGTCCAATCAGATTCTAGCAAAGTGGACATGTTCCATTTATCATTTTATGGACCTAAAAAACAAGTTTTCTCTATTATAGCACCTGCTTTGTAAACTAGTCTCTCCTGAGGATAAGATGGACCCAACACAATTGGCCTTTTGGAAGACCTTAAAAGTTCTTTCTTCAGGCTTCAGAAGTTAGTGGAACCTGATGTGTACTTCAAAATCAAGAAATCTTGAAGAAACCACATGCTTTTGGTAATCAGTACCTTTGCTGTTGCTGTCCCCAGTTGGACAGGGTTCTTTATCTTAGTTACAACATTTTGCTTATAGTCATGCAAGGGTTTCAACCATCACTCCATCCCTTCTGTGCAACAGGATGGAATGTCCCCAGTCTTCCATTGCTAAATAAATGTTTTTCTTATTTTTTAATTAATTGCATTAAGGTTCCTTATGAGAGAACTTAATTTTAAAATCCCATAAGCAGTTTAATTGAAACTAATTGAAAATTCTGTAACTTGATTTTCTATTACCATAAAAGCAGCATATGCCTATGCCTACCAACTTCCCATAGGCAAGAGTGATATCATCTTTAAAACAGATTATATTCAGTACATGAAACCAAGATTGTCTAAAATGTGGCTGAAGCAATCTAGGGAAAAACTTTTTTAAAAATTTGGAGTCATAGGTAATCTGTTTAAGCCATGATGATGACACATTCTGTAATTTGTATTATTTGCATGATATCATTGTATTGTGATATTACTTGTCCAGCAGATTGGAACACTTTTCATGTCTTCTCTGAAGCAATTATAATTACATTGTCTCAATACATTAAAACATCTCTGATGAGGTAGAATTATTTAGAATTAAAATTGATTGCATCTGCAATTAATGCCCAAAAATTTGAATCAGCCATTTGCAGGCTCTCAACTGAATCTGCATGATACTAATTCAAAAAGGTAAGTAATAGAGAGGGAAAGCAAAACAAATCATTACAGCAACCAGTTTCTGAAGTTGCATCAGCTTTATTCAGGCATAGAACTGCACATTCTTTTTTTTCCTTGAAAAAAAAAGAACTACACATTCTTGAGAGAGTTAAGATAACATGCTAGTTCTGGTTTCTGTGTTGCTTGGCAACTCCTGTTTGACTATTAGCATGAACTGTATATATGATTTACCATTCATCACATCAAACAACCTTATGTTCCACTTGAGGGCTTCTTTGCCTTTTTTAGTGTACAATTTTGAAAGCTATACTTGTGAGTAAATCTTATGACTGCAGTTTTATTAACTGGGTGAGATTATTTTATAAGTGAATATATAACTGACAGGCTATTTCATACAGATTGTCAGGTCTGTAATCTTTCTCTCAAATTTTCCTGGAAGAAAAACCTTCCAAGAGATTCAGGATTAGTGTTTGGTCCTACAGTCAACATTATACAGTATTTAGGTAAATAATAAATCTTGGTGCCATTCAAATGCCTCTAGTTATAGTTACAATAGTTACAGTAAAAACACAGTCCTGTAACACGTTAAGAACTAGCCAATTGATTATTCTAAAAGGAATATTGTGGGGCTGAATTCAAAGTTTTTTGCTTTTAAGCAAAGTGTTCATAGGATTTGCTTTTTGTCAAGTTCTTAGATGAAATATGGCCAGGTCACAAACAAGGACAAGAGCATAAACCAAGTTTCTCATTCTTATGTCTCTATGGATGGTTTTTTCTTTTCTTTTCAAATGACATACAGTTGTTGTAGTAAAGAAGGAGTACTCTGTTCTAGACTAGGATTACGTTGAAAACAAGATTCTGGTGCAATTCTACGAAGAGGTCTTGGGGATGGATCAGTGGTCTCCAACCTTGGCAACTTTAAGACCTGTGGACTTCAACTCCCAGAGTTCCTCAGCTGAAGTCCACAAGTCTTAAAGTTGCCAAGGTTGGAGACCACTGTTGGGGATGACAGGAATCAAAGCTAGTAGGGTTGAATTGGACTTCAGCGCGTCCGAGATCGCCCGCTATCTTGTCATAAATGTTGCAAGACGAGTCTCGCATCTCCCTTTTCCTCAGCGAGCGGCACTGCCATGCAGCGTAGCGCGGAGGAGGGCGGCGCTCCCCGGGGCTCCTGGTGCAATTCCAGCCGGAAGGAGCTGCCGGCTGGGCGAAGGCGGCCGAGTGACTGAGCGATGGCAAAACGTCACGTGAGCGTCCCGCGCCGGTCTGGGCTCTTGGTGGCGTCTCCTCCCTTTGCCTTCTGGCCAGTGTTGCAAGTGCGAATAGCTGCTATTGTGGAAGTCATGTCCCACCAGACTGGCATCCCAGGTACAGTACAGAACAGTCTCTTTCGGGGCAATCTGTGATATCGGATTCTTCCTTTGATTTGAGAGACACCACTAACCCCACCCCCGTGCACCAGGGGGGTTCTGCCAGGGGCCACTTCTGGCATTTAGATTTAATTCATTCGCCCAATAGGCAGACTTGCGGTTCCCGTCTGTGGAATTTACGTCTATGATTTGAGAAGAAAGCGAGGGATGCCTCTAAGTACACGAGTGCTCCATTGCTCAGTTTTGTTGATTGAGCAAGGGAAGTCCAGGTGAGCAACTTAATTCCGGACATGGGAAGCGGAGATCCGGCTGATAGGCTTTTCTCAGTTCTTCTCACTGGCTTTTGAAGCCATGAAATGATGGAGTCGTTCCAAAGTCGTCCAAAAAGATTTTGTTTTTGCATCATAGAAAACACGCGAAACCCCGTGCAGCGAAGGGCTTGTAGAGAGGCCCGTCTTTGCATTGTCGCCAGGTGACGTTGCGAAGGAGCTTGAGAGGAGGAGGAGGGGAAAGAGCGGCGTGGGAGGCTTGCGCTCTGCCTCTTAGTAGTCGCACCTGCTTCGGAAGCTCCCGAGCCAAACGATCAGTGCTGGAATCACAAACGATAGAGCTTGTTTTGCACGACGCTTAGTTCAACTATCGCGGCCTCGCATTTGACTACAGCGCCTTACGAGGCAAATGCTAATTTTACCCCCATTTTTTCTGTGCGAGCAAATCCAAAGCAAACTCAGCTCCGGGATTTACCGTCCGATTGCCCTGCAACGGGAAAGAAACCTTGCTGAAATCCGAATAGCTGGCGAGAGGTTGAAGCATCAGCTAGCCAGTCATAATTTAGCTTACAGGATCTTCCGAATCGAGTCTGTGTGACAGTCAATTTGATGGCTGAGGTCCCCAACCCCTTCAGCTCATCCACCCCCCTTCATGCGGTTTTTGATTATTCATCGACCCCAAGCATTTATTATACGAAAATAATGTAACAAATACTACTTTAATAGTACTACTTACACATATTTACCCCTTGGATAGTCCCAACTACCCCAATGGACCACTTAGGGGGGGGGGGCTGCTTTATAACCAAGATGTGAGCAAATATTGGAAAATGGATTAATCTCAATAACCATAGTTAACAGCTGGTAAGGCAGTTAGATTGACAAGGCCAATGGCAGGAATTTAGTGAAGTTTCTTGCTATATGAGAAAGGGATAGAAAAGCCACAATGGAAAAATAGAAATCCATTGAATTAATTGTTATCATGTATAAATTGAAAATTCCAACCAGAATAGAAAAATGAGGGTTGACAAACAACGCTCTGTCCTAAATATACATTTTGTCACTCTCATCAACTAAGAGGAGTAGAAATAATGTACCAGGCAGATAAATAGATAAGCAAAAAAATCTGCAAACCAAAGTTCATTCAACAATTTTTGCTGTCTTCTAGAAACTGAATAAGGATTTGGGACTTTTAATAGGCTTCCCAGAAAAATAAATTATTTTCCCTGCTTTTTTGTCTTTCTTGGAGAAAAGGAGAATTTCTTCCACACTTGTGTTCAGGCTTCCGCTGCTTTCTATAACTGCTTCTGCTATTGTTTTTCATGTGCCTGTAGAAACTAAATCAGATTGGGTTGCCCTCATTGTAACTTAGCATTTATGTGACTCTTTCTATGCTAATTTCTGTAGGAAAATGTGTTTTTGCCTTGCTATGCTGACTTATTGTCAATACCAACAGCTGAAGGCATATGCAGCTTATTTAAATGTTATTTACTTTGTGGATTTGATTTATTACATGTACAGGTAAATTATACAACATAAAATGAAATTTATAATCATGCTAGTTTATTTATTTTTGTATTTATGAGGTAAATGGGTCATTTGTGATATTAAATATCTAACAATGCTGGTCATGTGAACATATGTTTCAGTCATAACTGATGTAGTAAAAACTGATGTACAGCCACATTGGCCCAGTGGTTAGAGTGCAGTACTGCCGGCTATTTCTGCTGCCTACCGCCTGCCTGCAATTTGGCAGTTCAAATCTCACCAGGCTCAAGGTTGACTCAGCCTTCCATCCTTCCGAGGTGGGTAAATGACCCAAATTGTTGGGGGCAAGAGGCTGACTCTGTAAACCACTTAAGAGAGGGCTGTAAAAGCACTGTGAAGCGCTATATAAGTCTAAGTGCTATTGCGAAATGGTTCCTTCCTTCCTTCCTTCCT